CCCCCCCCCCCCGCCACATGCTCCCCCATCCACATCCAGTCTCCAGCATTTCAGATGAAATGTCAAAAGTTTTAGTGCACACATTCTATCTACAAGGCGGGTAGACAATATAAGGCAGTTAAAGCAAACTGTAATTTTATTTTATGCGTCTAGTATTCCTCAGTCAGCATTTTTTCAGTTAACTTTGCCAAACTCTCTCCACCTACATTCAGGTGAATTGAATGGGACTTCCCAACACTGCTGTTTCAAAATCTGTCCTCACTTCCCAGCCATATCCCAAACAACAAAGACAGTTTTCTAGGGTACTTTGATGCTTGTAAATACAAAACACTGGGACCTTTTATGAGGGAACATTTTCTTACTCTTCATTCATTCATTCAAGTATGAATTAGGTGCCTCTCTGTGCCAGGCCACAGGGTTAGGGCTTCAATTTAACAGTAGATAACAAAACACAATCCCTGCATTTGAGGAATTCACAATCCATTAGGGACACAGACATTAAATAATGAACCATGCAAAAAATATATAATTACAATTGTGATAAATGCAATGAAGGATAGAAAGTCTCAAAAACGGGGCTTTATTTAGACTGAGGGGTCATAGACACCTCTGACAAAATATCAATAGACTGGAATTTAAGGGATAAATGAAGGCTAACTTGATGGAAACAGGAGACCCGTATATAACACAGTAGGAAATTTTAACAAAACGTCTGGACTTTTTCAATCTGGCTTTCTCAAGTGATGCCTTTACTGTAACACTGCAGGAGCAGAAGGTTTTCCAAGTCTGCCTCTTTTGCACAAATTACGATGATTAAAGCCCAAGCTAGCACAGAGGCTCTGACATTTTAAAGGTTAACCTCTTTTCCTAAAGAGCTTTAAATAAACTAGAAATATTTCCTAGGTTTTAAAATGAGGCTGTAAGGAGACTTTAAAGTAGTTTGATTGCTTATGGTCCTCCCTTGGACTTGCTGGCTTATTGGGAAAGCTTTAGAATTCACTTGTCTTAAATTATTGTAACAGCCCCATTGTTTGGGATGAAGTAAAAACACAAGATATATAGGTTAAAGTGGTTTTTAACTTAAAGTTCTATGCAAATACTATAAATCATTATTATTTATACTTTAAAAATATATAATTATTACCTCAATAAGTACTACCCGAACCTGAGGCTTATGTTCATTAAATGAGTTATCATGTTGTCAGAAAAAGGTTAGCAGAGTCATAAGGTACTACACTTGGTGGTTGGAGTTTAAGTAACATGAATAATCTTGTTAAATTACCCATTTTAATTATCCACCCACAGAAGACATGAATAGACAGACACTTTTCTAAAGAAGACATCCGGGTGGCTAAGAGACACACATAAAAATGGTCAACGTCACTCATCATCAGGGAAATACAAATCAAAACCACGATGAGATACTGACCTCACACCTATCAGAATAGTTAAAATTAACACCACAAGAAACAACAGGTGTTGGCAAGGATGTGGAGACAGGGGAACCCTCTTGCACTGTTTGTGGGAATGTAGACTGGTGCAGCCATTCTGGAGAACCGTATGAAGGGTCCTCAAAGAAGTAAAACTAGAACTACCATATGACCCAACAATTGCAATAGTAGGTTATTTACCCAAAGGATACAAAAATACAGATTTTGGGGGGTTCATGCACCCCAGTGTTTATAGCAGCATTATCAACAATAGCCAAACTATGGAGAGAGCCCAAATGTCCATCAACTGATGAATGTATAAGAAGATGTGCTATATATATACAATGGAATATTAATCAGCCATCAAAAAGAATGAAATCTTGTCATTTGCAATGACATGGATGGAGCTAGAATATATTATGCTAAGAGAAATAAGCCAATTGGAGAAAGACAAATATCATATGATTTCACTCATATGTGGAATTTAAGAAACAAAACAGATGAACATATGGGAAGTGAGGGAAAGAGAAAAGAGGGAAACAAACTACAAGAGACTCTTAAAGATAGAGAACAAACTGAGGGTTGATGGAGGGAGGTGGGAGGAGGATGGGTTAGATGGGTGATAGGTATTAGGGAGGGCACTTGTTGGGGCACCTAAGTGGCTCAGTTGGCTAAGTGTCCAACTCTTGATTTTGGCTCAGGTCATGATCTCAAGATTCGTTGAGATCAAGCCCAATGTTGGGCTCAGCACTGACAGTGCAGAGCCTGCTTGGGATTCTCTCTCTCTCCCACTCTTCCTCTCCCCCCTCAAAATGAATAAATAAATATTTTTAAAAAGGAGGGCACTTGTTATGATGAGCACTGGGTGTTGTATGTAGGTGATGAATCACTGAATTCTACTCCTGAAACCAATATTGCACTGTACGTCAACTAACTAAAATATAAATAAATAAATAAGTTAATTAATTAATACTTGCCCATCCATATTCCTAGAAAAGAAATTTAGTCACATTCATTAGAATACACCTGGGGAGCTTACACAAATGTGAATTCCTTACCCTCCACATGACACATCAGACACAGATTCTCTTGTTTAGGGAAAGGGAATTTGCATTCAACAAGCTTTTGTAGTGATTGCTATGCATATCAAAGTTTGAAAAACACTGTTTCAGTGTATTTTCAACTTGATAATACAAAGTTGATAATTCATTACTAAATGAATTGGAGAAGTTTCTAAATTATAAGCATTTGTAGACTCTTAAAAGAATCTTCCTAAACCTGTGTGTGTGTGTGTGTGTGTGTGTGT